CTATAACACACTATTCTCTCTTGGGTTATATTGTTATCTTATGAAATCGTAGCATTACTATTACTATTTTTTAGTCCACAGTTTCATCAGTTCCCTAACTGTGTTGTTTGTATTCCATCAGAAGACCTGCAAATGAATGAAAGGGCAGGACTTTTTTTTTTTGCTTACTATCTCTAAACTTTAGAAATAATAAATAAATGTTAACAATGATATTAACTATTTTAGTTTGGCATAATCCATACTCTATTTGGTCAGTAACAGTTACTGAATCTGGAGTTGTTATTGGGAATGATGAAATTTCAGAAATGCTATTTCTAGATTTTTTTTTTTTTTTTAGAGTATAGCACACATAGTACAGCCTTTTACAACAGACGAAAACTGTTGAACATCACAAGAAAGTCACGCGCTGTTTCTGAGAGCCTTTCCTCTCGCTGGAGGAAGCTTCATGGAGTCTGGGTTTGCATAGTCATGGCTATGCAACATCTGCTGAGTGGGTGGTTATGTGTTTGCTCAGGCGTATGACAGTGATGACATGGAAAAGGAAACTTCTGTTGCTCAAAGTTACTGAGAGGTTTCACTAGTAGTAAAATCACAAAACATTCTTACATCTGCTGATGATTTTGACTTAAATGGAAAAGGAGTTTTTTCTTTTTTTTAACATTATTTTCAGTGTCAGGAGTTTTTGTTTGTATTTTGTTTTGTGTTTGTGTGGATACACATTCTAATGTTATGTGTGTTAAATCCTCATGTTTCTGATACTACTTTTAATATCCCATGTTTTAAAAATGGAGTGTGAATGAAACCTAAGAGTATTATCCTAGAGCACTTTTAAACAACCAAGTCTTAAGGGGTGGGAGTGATTTGCCCCCACACATACCAAGCCTTCCCCATTATTGACATTCCCCTACTTGAATAGTACGTTTGTTACAGCTGATAAATCTACACATTTGACACATCATCACTACACAGAGTCCTAGTTTGTTATGTGTTCAATCTTGTGTTTATATTCTATGGATTTAGATTAATGCTTAATTACATTTTTCTACCAGTATAGTATTGCATAGAGTAGTTTGACTATCCTAAAAATCTTTTTTTGCTTCATTTATTCATCTTACCTCTTACCCCTAGCAACTCATGATCTTTTACTGTTTTTATAGTTTTGCATTTTTTAGAATGCCATGTTGTTGGAATGATACAGTATGCTCCCTTTTCAGAGTGGATTTTTTTCATTTAATAATATACATTTAAATGTCTTCCATGTCTTTTCATGACTTTCTATTTCATTTCTTTTAAGCAATGAGTAATATTCCATTTTCTTTCATTCCATTATCCTTTCACCTACTAAAGAATATCTTGATGCTTCCAAGTTTTGAAAATTAGGAATGAAGCTGCTCTCAAGGGCTGGAGTTGTAGTTCAGTGCCTTGCTTGAGCCATTCCCTGGGTTCATTCCCCAGGACTACCAAAGAAGGAGGGGGAAGGAATAAAGCTGCTATTAATATCTGTGTGTAGGTTTTCATGTGGACATAAACTATAAAAGTAATTTTGTATCTGTGTTCATATCTGTAGTTTTTGTATTTCCTTTTCTTATCTAAATTCCATTCGTGAGAACATGCAGTTGAAAAGCAATAATGAAAGTGATTGTCCTTACCTTGTTCCTGATCTTAGCAGGAAAGCTCTGTTTTCTCACCATTAATTATTATTGGCTTATTTATTGGTACCAGGAACTCAGGGGCACTCAACCACTGAGCCTCATCCCCAGCCCTATTTTGCATTTTATTTAGAGACAGGGTCTCACTGAGTTGCTAAGCACTTCACTGTTGCTGAATATGGGTTTGAACTCGTGATCTTCCTGTCTCAGCCTCAGGAGCCACTGGGATTGCTTTTTTTTTTTTTTTTTTTTTTTAGATCATGAATAAGTGTTGGATTTAATTTAGTCAAGTGATTTTTCTACCTATATTAATATGATTATGTAATTTTTTCTTTTTTAGTGATGTGATGATTTTTAAAAATTGATTTAATTGATATTTGGATGTTGAACTAGCCTTACATATGTGGGACTAATCCCACTTGGTCGTGGAGTATAATCCCTTTTACATTCTTGTATTTCATTTTCTAAAATTTGTAGAGCATTTTATATCTTCTGAAAGAGATTGCACA